AGGTGATTTCAGCTATTTCAAATTTGAAGTCGTTATGCTTATCTTATTATTTTGCTACAAAAGGTACAGAAGTTAAAAAATGACATCATGCAGGGAATAATGTGACATAAAACTCACCCAGGATTCCTTTTCTACACGCCAAGCAGCACCTCAGACAACTGCTCAACAACAGTGCTCACATTTCACAGATAAAAACCTACCGCATGTTGTTATCTGTTATCTGAGTAATTAGAAGTTTGATATGCCTAATATCCTGCAAAAGCACACTTAATCACACACTTAATTAGCCAATAATTCTTTCTCGTGCTAAGAGATGTTCTTTATGACGTAGGTTATCAGCTGAGAGGCGCTCCAACTGATGTCAGTTTGCAGTGGAGACACCCTGGACTGCTCTACTAGAGAAAGATCACAGAAACCAATCAATAGCCTGAAAAGAGATGGTGACGACGAAACAAGTACTCGTTCAGCCTTCCCTGGCACTGTACTGAGACCAGTGATGAAGTGACGCAATCTTTGGAGACTAATAAAAATTGGAGCCTGTCCCATTAGGATGACAAAAAAAGTATGCTTAGTCACTGGACATTCTGGAGAGCTGAGGAAAAAAGATGCTACAGCTGACTGACTTGATTCAGCAAATTAATACCTAACTTCAACAGACACACTGTCTGACCATAAAACTAATATGTATACTGTAAGATTCACTCAAGACCATGGTGTAATGGCACACAAAATCCATGACTTAATATAATCCTCACTTCTGGAGTTAGGCTTTGGTATGTATTTGGTACGTCAAAGAAGGTGAAAAAAGCAACAACTTTTTTTTTTTAATAGCAACAATCAAAAATGCTTACTGGACAATAATTTTTCCTGTCACAGTTCAGTGCATGTGAATACTGCACACTCTCAGTAAGGAAAGACTCAGGTGTTTACTCTCAAATACGAAATAAAAAATGTATGTTAAGACAAATGCAACATGTTTATAACAAACTGAAATTAACCATTAAAGCCAGCAGTGCAGGTACAGCTGTAAAAGTGGCTCAAAGCAACTTTGCCTCTGCCTCTCTCTCTTTGTCAACACTACGAATACAACCATCTTGTTTGAAAAGACTTTATTAGAATTGTCAGACGCAAACAGCTTCGATTTGCTTACAGTTCAAACAGCGGAGTCACAGGTTCAGGAAGATCACACTCCAAGTTAAACTCAATCTTAATGTGTCGTGTGTGTCAACTGGTTATACATAAAACTTTAATTAAACTGGCTGAGTGTCTGCTCAAAGATTCACCCTACCAGCATGCTATCGCTGATGGGCAACAACTCGTGACCTGCCGATATATACCAGGTGCAGTTCATGCTCTAGAATACCTTCTGGGAGTGTGAGTACAAGAGACGCTGTTTTGATCGAACTAAAGAAATTTCACACACAGAAAAACATTGGTTAGCAGTAACCCCTAATTGCTGCGGCAACAAGAAGCAAGCAACGGTCCTTGGCAGCATTCACAAAAACACTAAACTCTACATGACACTGAAATTCATAACCTGCGACTTTGAATTCATCTTCTATGAGAAGACACCTACAACATGTGAAGAGTTGAACATTACCACAACAATAAGTAGAACAGGTAAAGCCTCTACACAACCACAGATGTGTTCTACTTATGTCATCTGTGTGTGTGTGTGTGGGAACTCTATCCCTCTCCATAGAGTTTGGTTCCACAGTTTATGGTGGTATCCTGTGATCATTCTTAAGCCGTGTATATATTCCCCATGCACAAGGACAGCTGAAGACACCCAAGAATGCACAGCTGTCATATTTGTACTCATTTCCATGTCGTCAGGAGTCCACTTGAAGGACCATACATGTGCTGTAGGTTGTATCTCTGTATCACACACAGGCGCACTGCTACCAAGCATTCACACAACTGTAGAGTAGTTGGAAATCTGGGGATGTACACGGACATCCGCAAAGGGGACGCTGCACCAACTCTTGCGATTTTGGTGATGAAATTTACCCTTGAGTACTTGTGGACTTGTAGAGTATAACACTGGCCTTAGTGTTCTGTAGAAATCTATGCATCCATCCATTATCTATACACTGCTTAATCCTCACTAGGGTCGCAGGGGGCTGGAGTCTATCCCAGCTGACTCAGGGTGAAGGCAGGGGACACCCTGGACAGGTCACCAGTCTATCACAGGGCTACACTTAGAGACAGACAACCAAGCACATTCACATTCACAACTACGGACAATTTAGAATCACCAATTAACCTCAACATGTTTTTGGACTGTGTGGGAGGAAGCCAGAGAACCCGGAGAGAACCCACGCTGCACGGGGAGAACACGTAAACTCCACACAGAAAGATCCAAGGTGTCCTCAATGGGACGCAAACTGGCGACCTTCTTGCTGCGAGGCAACAGTGCTAACCACCGATCCACCTTGCAGCCTTGTTGTAATTTAGTGTCACTTATAGCCAGTATCTATTACAGGAGGATAACAATCCATAACCTGGAGCAAGACTAACTACATAAAGTCAGTACACTATTACCAAAGTGAGGTACACTAACTATGTGCTGTTTAATGGGCATCTGAAGTAAGTGGGCAGTGCAGGGACAGGCACTGGCTGTTTTTGATGTCTACTACGTTGAACCAAGCTGAGCACATAAATATATTTCTGGGGGGAAAAAAACTATACCTTTGAGGTACAACTTTTCCTGGTACAGATACAAGAGTTAAGTACTGTGTTTGTTTTTGTCATGCTGTGATGTCAGGATGCATCTTGTTGACCAGTTGCCATCACCAGCCCCTTCATGTACCAGGAATTCACCTTCAAAACAATACCTAAATTCAGTCCCAGAAAGCAAGACTGCTGAAAAAAATGGACATTAGATATGTGACAATAAATACAACATTTTTCAAGTTCTTGCTGTTCTTGTTCTGTTTGCTTTAGAATTTGAGAAAGTTTTTTTTTTCTTTTGTGTTATCAGTGGAAGCAAACTAAGCGCGATACAGTCACGGACTACAAGCACTCATAAGTGGATGGTGAGACACAGCAAGAAAAAGCCCTTGTGTTTGCATGTTTGGCATCTAACAACATGCATGCTTTCCTTTCATTCTGACCTGTGAGGACCCACAGAGGAACAGCCAGCATATCAACATGAACAATGGGCCTCTTTCATCCTCCAAGTGCTGTCTGGAAAACGTAAGATAAACACACATTATGTCAAATCACCGCTTAAGTAAATGATAGCAACTACAGAGAGTCTACCACATCGGGTTTAGAGATCAGGGTCAGTGTCCCGCCTGCATATAACATCTGGCTGTGAGCATCGGTATTTATCATGACTCTGCAACACCCTGCTCTGTGTTGATGCAATTTGGTTTCACTGCAGAGGAGAAGGAGCACCAGACTGGGGGGATCAGCAGAGTGATACTGCAATCATGTCGCATGGGAGTAATCATCATCACTCAAAGAAAATGCATCAAGAATTTCAACTCTTAAGAACGTGTGTCCTGCAGTTATTCTAAGCCTTGGATTTGCTGGCACATTTTTTTTTTGCATGGTAAAGCAATAGCTGAAGAATAAACTGCACTACAGAGGCAGGACCAAACAACGAAGAAGTCCATGGAAGAAATGTTTCATCCAAAAAGTCAAGCACATTCATCAAAACACAGGGTCTGGCAAGCAGCTACTTTTGGTGCATGTGCAGTTTAATTATTTCTTAACATCCATTATGTATGAAGCTCTGCCTTCATAGCCAACTGATAAGTAGCAGGATTAACAGAATTCTGCCATCTGCACAGTGTCACTTCATTACCCCCCAGGTTAGAGAACTGGCTTTCAACAACACAAACACACACTTTTGGCATTAGGAGTTCAATTCACACAAAGTCTCCTCTTTAGCTCTGATCCCTGCTGGGACATCACCAGGGTGCAATATCTGTGGCATTCACTCCTTTACATTACATAACCCTGGAGTGTTGCCAAGCCCACAGAAAGGTTGATCCCAGCATCTCCTGTGTGCAAAGAACTTCAAACCATTTCATTTTTGCTTTATGGTCTTCAACAGCAAGCATTACTGTGATAATGAGCAGAAGCAATAAAGGGTAAATCTCTGCACCAGTGAATCACCTGGCTGCATTTTAACCTCACAGGAATGGTGCACACTGCTCAGCAAGGTTCTATGTGAAATGGTACTAGGTGGACCAGAAGTTGAAATACTGTTAAAGGAGATGCTGTTTGGTCCTGAATTATGCAGCATGTCTATATGCAAAATAAATAACGGAGAGGAATGTTGATGCTTTCACACAACGAGCAACCTTAACATTTCCCGATGTAGTGCTTCTGACCGGGTTCAGAACAACGTGTACCTGAGAAGAAATTCACACCAGGACCAACTTATCTCATCCATGAACTGGCTACAAATACATTCGACTTGAAGCCGGCGGCCATTTCTGCCGGAGCTCCAGCTCGTCTGGGCGGCTGCGCTACCTGAGGACATGGTGCAGACTTTTTTGCTGCATTGAGTCACAACTCCGGTGGGACGAGCCATGTGACCAAACTCTGCACCGTTATGGAGCCGTGTGTCCGCTCCACAGAACGACCGCGAGCGACCCAACACACCGAGCTCAGCGTCAGAAAAACAAAACAGACTGATAAACTTTTATTCTCGCCATGTTTCTGCGGTGGGCTGCTGTGAGCAGGCCACTAGGCGAGGTCCCGGCCACTGCGGCTGCCCTTGGAAAGCCCACGCAGGGTTTCGCATCTCGGACTGCCTTCCCTGCACTGCAGAGAAGATGTCGCAAGACTTTTTTTTTTTTACACTGAATTCCACCGTAAAGGCAACAACACAGTGAGGTCACTGCTTTCACTTTGACCGCAAAACCGGAGAAACGGGAGCCGTGAATCTTCCGACACGCCGCCGCCGCCGACGTGCGCGCGCATTAATTGCAGCTGAAACTACAAAGTGCTGCTACAGGATGCGGCGGCACGAGACAACTCACCGGTTATTATCTTCTCGGTCACCGTCTCTTTCTCGGTCATCATATCCCGCAGTTTCGCCTCCTCCCGAGCCTTCTCTCCGATGCAGCTACACCAAGCAATTTTCCTGGTTTACTGGGAACACCGGCTCAAAGAAGAAAAAAAACATCAAGAAAAAAAAAACAGCCTGACGCCGCTAACGGTGGCCCCTTCAACTTCAACCGCGATTTGCTGCTTTCCCGTTTTATGGAGAAGACGGTTCGAAACACATGTAGAAGGTTTGGGGTCCGGAGGGGGGCAGCTAGCTGGAGCAGAGAGGATGTTGGAGCCCAGACTGGCGGCTGCTGCTCTGTCCGCCCCTCCCTCCAGTCATGGCTGTCCGGGGCAGAGCGCTGCGGCGGCGGTGCGCAGGACAGCCAGCAGGGATACTGGGCTCTCCTCCACCCAGCACAAGTTCATGTCCATGGAGACACCAAGGACATATGTTATAAATGAATACACACATGAATCCAACGTTGAAAACACTAATCTATAACCTATTAGACCCACAGGGGTGCATCTATTCTGTCTCCATTTAAAAAAATATTTGATTCGGACTTAAGAGTCAAAACCTAAAGATATGGATATGGTGCATTTCTTATTAACACTTGAATTATTTACTGTTCATCCTTACTTTTTGTAGGAATGCTGAACAAAAGCAAGTTTGCTAGCCAACTACTGAAGACCAGCTTAAGATGGTTGCTGGTTGTAGCTGGTCCTGCTGGTGTGAGGCTGGTTGGGTTGGTATGCAGGATGTGTTGGTTAAGCTGGTGTAGCTGGTTTGTCAGTTTGGTAGGACTGCTTGGCATCACTAGTCACCCAGTCAAACTCAACTGGTCAACCCATGTGGCCAGCTGACCAGGACTGATCAGCAAAACTTGGAAACTGGTCAAGCTGGTGAAATGTCTGCATGGCCACCAGTTGGACTGACCAGGCTGGACTGATCAGAAAAAGATTGATAAAAGTCTCTCTTTCCCATGAGGAGCGAGTGTAAACATGCATGTTCCTCCTTAGACATGTAAACAGTCATCCGTACACATACACACATACCGCCTCACAAATACAAACACACTCAGCGTTGCATATACTGTACATACAAACCTGTTCTGACAGATAGACACAGAATTGTCCTCACACATACAAAGTGTGTCAGAAAAGTTCCAGGACTGGTGTCACACTCTAGGGGGATTATTTCGAAGGGGGAAACTTGTAGTTTTGTAGTTTGGGTTTGAAATATATCTTTTGTGACACTAGTCCTTGAACTTTTCTGACACACATATATACACAAAACTCATCCTCATACATATTTTATAGTTGTCACACACACATATACAGAAAGTCCATCCATCCATCCATTATCTATACACCGCTTAATCCTCACTAGAGTCGTGGGGGGGCTGGAGTCTATCCCAGCTGAGTCAGGGTGAAGGCAGGGGACACCCTGGACAGGTCACCAGTCTATCACAGGGC